GGGAGGTCTATGTTTAACAGTGGACAGTCAATCGTTTTTTTTTTTATGGGTGAAAATGGTATGGTAGCCCCGCCTGCGCTAACGGGATACGCTGGTAGAGCACCAGTGAAGGGTGCTCTACCTATCATGATGGATTCATCAGGAATTAACCATGATAGTGTCCAGGGGGAACCGCGAGGAGGTCAACCTGGTTGGGTATATTGCTAGCAATGGGATTCTCAGTATCCATTAGTAACAATCCCTTTCCCCCCGACAGTCAACGGTTGATATAATAAAATAATAACTAAATAGTTTATAATATGGTGCAATCGAGGAGACGTTACAATCCAGGATGATGTCACTGATCCATCAACACACGAATGATATCATTGCAATGATTGCATGACAGAATGACCGTTAGTACACAGGTATTAATGAGGAATAAGCTGTGAGACCATAATCCACGTTAACACCTAATGATGCAATGGACGCTGTTAAGACCTTAGGATACGGATGTACCAAGTTTAAGACAGCGAATTTCGATGAGCGCAAGAACTACTCAAAACTTGTTGTTATGTTTAAGACATGCTTAAGTAATGCTTAAATAATCTTTAAGATTTTACTGTTTCCTCTTTGCTTGGATGTAATATTTATTTATGATTATAGTAATTAATAAACTTGTCGTGTGTCATATGGATTTATCTTTTCATAATATACTAATTTTCCAACCAGGTTTCGCATGGATATATAGTATTTTAGAAAGTAACATGTAGCTTATATTACTCGCTGATACTGTATCTTTCTATAGGTGAAAGAATTTTTAAAATCGGTTGACTAGTTCTTGAGATTTATCTATCACAAATAAATATATAAAACATCAAATCTTTTCTCTTGAAAATATTAACTGTAGACAATGAGTTACGGCTGTTGTCATAAATTAAGCGGCGTTTATTAGCTATTTAATGACTTTTCTCATGCAGCATGTCCACTATTTAATAATGTTACGTCGAGAATGTCAATTTTCAATGTGTGGGTTCCAGATTAGGCCAAGTTGGTGAGCGGATGCTGACCCGGATACCGGTTTTGCCTAATCTAACTTGCATATATGAGAAACTGTGGCTTCATCTCCACAATTTGGTCGAAACACGGCGCTACTGTTTAATTAATTTCGTATCCGCCGTGGTAATTAATGTAATTTTAATTAATATTATTGGTGGAATGATTGAGTATATACATAATATGAGATGCGTACAATTTGACCAATGTGTAACACTTGTCTTTGTTTTGTTTTTATTGTAATAAAAATTGAATATCAATGATAATAACAATTAAACAAAAAAATACAATAAATAATATTAATTATATAATTATTATTATATATATATGTAGTAATATATATGTGTATGCATATTTGCACACACACACGCAATAAAAGGGGTTGGGATCTCAGCTTTCTTTTTTCCAAAGGTTTTTAAGACGGGTTGGGTTGTCTGAGAAAACCGACAAATTAGCCGAGAACGAAGTAAATAGTAAGTAAATATTTTATATAATTATATATAAAATATATTAATTTTATAAATTCAATGACTTTTTTTATAAAGCTTGCCATTAAGTGGACTGTAAACTTCTATTTTACGTCAGTGGTATAAAAAAAAATTGAATAAAGTATATGTAATTCTAATTTCGCCATCGCTGTGTAGTACCGGCATAGAATAGGCCATCCCTTCCTTTTTCATGTGTATTGTAAGAGGGGACTAAGGAAGGGCGAAGTATGGGCAGCAGCGTCCCTCTTAAAATATCTCCAAAGCCTAACTGCGGTTGCCAATCTGTCTGCCAAGCGTGGCAACTACTGACAAAACCCCCAGGCTTATTTCAGCAATGGACAGTTAAAGGCTGATATAAAAATGATAATGCATTGTAATTTCAATATGACGTGAAAATTTGTTATTTCTTAGTATTTTAATTGCTCAACTAACTGTCATACAGCCACTTTTAGGGAAGAAGAATAACATACGCCACTTTTTATTACGCTCATTAACTTGTCGTCACGCGGACGAAATCACGGGTAAAAGTTAGTAATAAATATAGTACAACTCTATAACATTAAGAATTATTGACATAGTATAAGGTTTAAAGGAATACTTGAGGCGATGATCGGAATGGACTCATTCCAACGATTAGAGATATTATGCATGTTATATATATATATATATATATATATATATATATATTAAACTTTTATAATGTTGTTATGTAGTATCTAGCCTACACAATGTACTTTGTGCTTTGGATAAATAAATGAATATTCATGTTGCAATATTACAAATACCTTCTGTTACACGCAATACAACTACTAGTGTGACAGTTAAAAAATATTACACGACGTGCACCGTTGTGATTTAAAACTAATAGTAAAATAATAGTTAAATATAAAATAGCGCTCTGGGATTAAAGAAAAGGCAGCAGAAGCAATCCAGCAAGTTGTTATTCCTTCGCTTGATTCAATTTTCTATAAAACATAAGAACATTTGGCACAAATCGAATTGTGGAAACATTAGTGGCATACATAAAACAATTCAGTAACAATATAAATTTGTTTTAAGACTGTCATTGATAACTGCTTTGTCCTAACATATCGACACAAATACTTCTACATCCAATATCCGCCTAGAATATGCAGTTTGTAATAATTTCCAATGTCGCCGGTTATTTACGCATTCATTACTATTTATGAGGTAACTATATATAGCTGCGAATTGACAATATTCAATTGCCTTAAACGCAGCCATGACTCAGAGACACCTTTTCGTATATAAACCATGATGTCCACAAGTCACATCGACTGCCTCATTCACATTCATGGCCATATAGAGAGATACAGAGCAGAGGGAGAATAGTCGTTTGCTTCGGTATCTCTGTCCCATTCGTGTTTCAACTGTAAAGCAGTTGTGTTTGCATGGCTGTGTTTCGGTTTGAAGGGTCGGATATGGCGTGAATTTACAGGGTACAGAGTAATAACACCTGAGTCCTCAGGAATGGCAACGTATGGGGGGTATCATGGGCGAAACAGTATACTCAGTTATATCCATGGTACTGCTCATGTCTATAGGCGACGGTTAGCACTTTCCATCAGGTGGACCGACAGCTTGTTTGCCATTCTAAGTTGTATAAAAAAAAAGTATTAATGAAATTCCTCAAGCAGTCATCTCACCAGTATCTCTGCTGGGATATTACAGACCGTATGTTCCATAAAGCATGCGCGCGACATTTTTACGACACTGCCCGACTAGTGAGGTCCACAAACGTCCCTGTTTTATGTGCTGTTTAAAATTCTTTGCTTGGGAGAGGGCATGATTAGTTCGCATTGCGAGGTTCGGCTCGTGACACGACACGATTTATTTATGTTAATCACAACATTATATCTGTGATTTATGAATTGCGAATAATTTTCTAATGATATTTAAATGATTTTCAAAAGAAGGGAATTCTCAATTGGTTTGTATTTTTTGCGTGTATTGTAACCATTTCTGTGCTAATTTTGACGATTATTTTTCGTATCGATAGGATTTTCTACCATTATTTTTTAACAATTAAAGTTACCATTTTATTTACGAAACTAAAAGCTGCTTGATAAGAAACAGAAAGATGGAATTTTGCATTGTAAATAGAAATATTTTCAATTTAATTTGTCTACGAAATAGATTATTGTACATACATCAGTGGATTTTAATAGACAATAATATTTTATTTTTTGCTGAAAATGTTAGTAACACATAGTTGTTTTTTGATTTGTCCTGTGGTTTTGGCAAAGAATGGTCCACCCCTTCCTTTCCCTTGGGTGTCGTAAGAGGCGACTATAGGAACTTAATGGTCGAAAGATGGGCAGCAGCATCCCTCTTAAAACATCACCAAAACCTAACTGCGGTTCGGGGGGAAAAGGGATTGTTAGTAATGGAGACGAAGAATCCCGTTGCTAGCAATATACCCAACCAGGTCGACCTCCTCGCGGTTCTCCCTGGAAACTATCGCCATTAATTCCTGATGAATTCATCATGATGGACTAACTGGCCCGTTTTCATCCTCATCGATCACCCTTCACTGGTGCCCCGCCAGCGTATCCCGTTAGCGCAGGCGGGGTTACCACTCCATTTTCATCCAATAAAAAAAACCTTACTGCGGTTGTCAACCCGCCTGTCAAGTGGCACTACTGGTAAAATCCCCAGGGAAGTCCTATGTTCAACAGTGGACAGTTAAGAGCTGATATGACGATGATGATGATGTTTTTTAAACACAGTTTTTATAAAAAATTCAAGTATAAACTTGAATTCCACCTCGAGCTAAACAATCCCACGACAAGCGACAACCATTGACGCGTATACAATATTTACATTTTTTTTTTATGTTTTATCTAGAAAATTTATGACAGGAAATCATATTTTCGCAATGTTAACAAGAGCTTATCAGAAACATCGTAAAGTGTGTTTCAAATGGTGGAAAGTGATCGAGCGGTCGTCTGACGAGGTTTACGACCCGGCGATGGCCAATATTCAACTATGTTCTAAATTTTAATAAGGTTCTACTTAAATGTGTGCTGTTACATTATATTTATGTATACTATTTATATTTTTTACGAGACCATAGCATGGGATTCTTAAAGAAAGGGATAAAGAGATTTTGCGAATCTGCGACTGTCAGAAGGCGTAGAATTAACGAATTAATTTTTTATTTCCGAAATATTTGCTAGATATAAAAAGTATAATTATGAATTTTAATACAGCTTGAATTATATTTATATTATATAGTATTTTTTTTATACTACTGAGGTGGCAAACAAGCATACAGCCCACCTGATGGTAAGCGGTTACCGTAGCCTATGAACGCCTGCAATACCAGGGGTATTACACGCGCGTTGCCGACCCTGAAAAAACCTCTTTACCCCGCTTTTGAAGAATCTTTTATACATCAATGACTGATGATGATTTTGCCCTCATATTTATATACATTTATCGTGCATTTTTCAGGGCACTTTCTTCCACGCACAACCTCTCTTTGGAATCAACTTCCAGCAGCACTATTTCCGAACTGATACGACATCATAACCTTCAAGAAAAGAGCATATTCCATTTTGAAAGACCGGCAGCACACCTGCAATGCCGTTAGTGTTGTGAGTGATCATGTGCAGCGGTAGTCACTTACCATCAGGTGAGCCGCATGCACGTTTTCCCCTGTTTTGTAAAAAAAAATATCGTGACGTGAAAATCGTGCGATATCGTGTCGTGCTACGACAAAATTGTTATAGCGCTCAATAGATAAGTGCCAGTTCGTAGGTCGATTGTAGGCAGATGGTAATTCGAACAGATGTTCCGTTTCGTCATGGTGTCATGGTGCCCACACTTAATGTTGCTATGTTTTGCAACATGATTATGTATTAGTTCACAAATTAAACAGTGCTAAAGTCGCCCATTGTTTCCTCATTGTGATTATTTCTTGTAATTGTTTATATCTATAATAAGTTTACTATTGTAATCTTTTGGAGGAAACAATAAAGAGTATCTGTCTATCTATCTATCTAAAGTGAAAATACGCAGGTACCGAGAAAGTGTATGCTAATGTACCTCTATAGGGGGGAAAGGGATTGTTAGTAATGTAGACTGAGAATCCTATTGCAAGCAATATACCCAAAAAACAAAAAAAGATAACTATTACGCTAGTCTATACAATGGACGCCACTTTTAGAAAAAAAACTACGTACTCAAACGTACGTAAAAACTACACTCAATTCAATGAAGCCTAACAAATGTGCGTCTCAAAAAAGAATCTCATATTTTTAATTTCTGTTATAAATTATACGGCAACATTACGATGCTATTTCACCCCCTGAATGATCCACCCGGGACATCACCTCTCATAACTAGCCGCTTTATACCGTGCCTTCAAAATTTATGACCCCTACGTAAACCTAATTAGTCCTACTAATTCCTACCACCAACGAAGATATAAGAATCAAATCAAAATTGAACTCTACGCTTTCGGCAAAAAGTTTATTATAATTTTATATTTATTTTATATGATTCACTATTTCAATTTTATTTCTTTAATTTTAACCCTACACTTATATAAATAAGGTGTATTTAAACATTCATCTCTAAAAGTTGATATTGTGTATTTTAAATTGTACTCTATAACTGTAATAATTAAGTTGAAATTTCAACATGTTAGAAGTTAATTTACGTTGAATATAATTAAGAGATTGGTGCACTATACAAGGTGGTTTCTTTTGTACGATATTATCATATTAAATACATTTGTTTATGATTATAAAATTAATAGCCTTGTATTCATTAGTTGAATAAGTAATTATTATACATGTATGCCCATTATTCTTTACCTAATATGTGACCAATTACCAGAGGGAGTCTTTGTACAAAAGTCGATTGCTTGGGTACCTCTGTCCCATTCGTGTTTCAACCGTGATGCAGTTGTGTTTACATGGCTGTGTTTCGGTTTGAAGGGTGGGATATGGCGTGAATTTACAGGGTACAGAGGAATAACACCTGAGTCCTCAGGAATGGCAACGCATGGGGGGTATCATGGGCGAAACAGTATACTCTGTTATGTCCATGGTACTGCTCATGTCTATAGGCGACGGTTACCACTTTCCATCAGGTGGGCCGTCAACTTGTTTGCCATTCTAAGTTGTATAAAAAAAATATTTTATTCCCGTAATAAAGTCATATTCATTAGCCGACTTTACCCTATTACCCTTCAAACCGAAACACAGCCATGCAAACACAACTGCTTCACGGTAAAAACACGAATGGAACAGAGGTGACCAAGCAAACGACTTTTGTACAAAGTTTTCCTCTGGTAAATTCTGATTCTAATATGTACAACAATCAAAATTTGTTTATACCAAGAAAATTAGTGTGTTAATTAAATAATTTGCAACACCCAAACTGTGTTTTTATGTTACCTGTATGGCACACAATAAATAAATATCTTAAAAGCGATCTAGTTGGAAGCATTAGAGAAATGGATATATTAGAAAATCTTTGCATCTATCTCATTTTAATCCTCTAACTAAATAATAGAATTCTCGTTTCGTTCACATTTGATTTCGTAATGATTCGTATATTTATTTTCTCGTAACTTTATTCGCTTTTGAACATAGTTCAAGAAACGTTAAAGTCCAAAACAAACACTAGACTTGTATGAGTGACATCATCTCGCGCGCCGCACTCCTGCGCATGGTGTACAGTCCAATTCATAAGTATTAGCGGAAGAAAAATAGTGTTCGAAATTGGATTTTAGAATTTTTTGTACAAAAAACATATGTTAACGTAGAATCGTAAATAAGCTGGCAGCCCACTTGGTGGTAAGTGGTATCTATTGCCTATATATGTGAACAGTATCAGGGGTCCTACAGAATGATGTGGTGAGTGCGAAAGCGAACCCATATCTCCGGCATATGGCACCTCGAGGGTATATCGTCTGGTTTTTGGTAGGTACACCCCGCCTTACGGGGGATTTCCACAGTACCCATTCACCTCCTACAAGGTGTATGGGTCTGCATAAAGCATTTTCCAGACGTTACAAAAAAAGGGTCCTACAGAATGTACTATGACGCCCGTAGGATCCCTCATGCACTTACATTCCTGAGAACTAAAATAGTATGTAATTTTATTGCAAATTCACTTTAAACTGACTGCTTTATGGCAGAAATACGATTGCCTGGAAGACATCGCTATTTACCGACAAGACAGGCCATTATTACCCCTCAGCAAATTTTTTGTAATTAATTATATTTTTTGAAGAATAAATAACTTTCATTAACTAATTAAAAAGCAAATAGTGCAATTTTTTTTGGCGTTATTTAAAAACGATCCGTTCTTTCCGCTACACGCCTATAACTTGTCTCATCACAATCGAAACACAAAATTGTTACGTTTAGTTGTGTTTGGATATTAACACAATCGCACTTACGAAATCCGTCCGTTACCTGTTGTTTGCCGGACGGATTCTTTGCTCCTGATGCGATTCGCTAAGTGTTCACCAAACACACGCGTTGCCCAACTTGTGGGTGATTATCCATAAAACATACAGTATTTTCCTAATAATAATAACACAGTGCTATTTTTTTGGTTATTTTGTAATAGGATTTTAGTAAGTTTAAAGCCCATCACAAACAAAATGGACGGACGGAATACATATTATATTAATATAAATGGTGGTTGGTTATAGTTGAGAGTTGTACAAAAGTCGATTGCTTGTGTACCTCTGTCCCATTCGTGTTTCTGCCGTGAAGCAGTTGTGTTTGCATGGCTGTGTTTCGGTTTGAAGGGTGGGATATGGCGTGAATTTACTGGGTACAGAGGAATAACATCTGAGTCCTCAGGAATGGCAACGCATGGGGGATATCATGGGCGAAACAGTATACTCTATTATGTCCATGGTACTGCCTATGTCTATAGGCGACGGTTACCACTTTTCATCAGGTGGGCCGTCAGCTTGTTTGCCATTCTAAGTTGTATATATATATAAAAAAAAAACACTAATATTATAAAGAGGAAATATTTGTATTTTTGTGTGTATGTTTGTAATGAATAAACTCAAAAACTGCTTTGTCAATTTCAAAAATTCTTTCACCATTAGAAAGCTACGTTCACCCTGAGTAACATAGGCTATATTTATTGCTAGGAGAGATTAGGGATCCTTACTAAAACTTTAGTAACGTAACTCAAGGTTTAAAAAAATGCTATAAAATATCTTTCGTCGCGTGCGCTGTAGAAACTATTGGTGATGGAACAAAAATATGTTCTACAATATTGAAGAAAATATCAATAACTACAAAAAACTTCGTGATGCTATATGTCCAACTATTTGTCTTTATGTCACAATAACCACTTTTTAAAATGTTGTAAAAATGTCCACCCGCGCGAAGCCGGGACGGGCCGCTAGTTTTACTCGCCTCATGGTTGACTGGTAGAGAACGCCATTAGCTGTTAAATCCGCCATATGTACGCTTACTTATACTATATAAGTGTGCATTAAAGATTAAACGAATAAATAAAGAATACAGTCTAAATATAAACTTCTAAAATCAGTTGAAAACGTTTAATACAATGGAAAATTAACAATTCCCACAGTGGACACATTAATACGCGTTATCGGACAAAATTTGACAAATCACGGAAGCTTGTTGACAAATCGTGCTCGCCGCGCATCTATCACAGCTTCATTGTTCGGAGCGAAGCGTGTTATGTAGCAATACCAACGACGCACTCTACGTACTGTTGGTATTCCCGTTGATAAATAGATTTACAGTTGGATTAATCGAATCCTGTGGTTTCCTCTTGCAATACACTGGTTTAAGGACTTAAAATCAAACGGGAATGAGGTTATTAACCGACATAGAAGTTTACAAACTAAATTGTAGGTGCAAAGAAAAATAATTTCACCTAATAGTAATTTATTATATTTATTTGCTTTGCTGTGCTTGGAGTCTTTTTGCGTGATAGAATCCGAAATGAGGATATCCGCAAAAGTACCAAAGTAACCGACATAGCCCGAAGGATAAGCAAGCTGAAGTGGCAGTGGACTGGTCACATAGCTCGAAGAACCGACAACCGATGGGGAAGAAAGGTTCTTGAGTGGCGACTAAATGGAGTGACGACCTGAAATGCGTTGCAGGGAGTCAGTGGATGCAGGTGGCTCAGGGCCGTTCTTTATGGCAGTCTATGGGGGAGGGTTATGTCCAGCAGTGGACGAATAATGGCTGCAATGATGATGATATCTGATATGAGATATATCATTTATTCAGAACAAAATGTATTTTATTAAAACAACAAATGAATTAGAAAAATATGTGATATGCAATATATTAACTATTGGCAATGCAATTGGCGATTTTAATTATTATTTTTCATTTCATTCAGTCAAACTGTATTTGCGAATTTTGGGTATTTACAATTTAGTTTTATGATAGTAATAATATTAGATACACTATATTCGGTCTGGTAGGTATCAATATATTATATACCTTTAATTGTTTACTGTTAAACCGCTTGCCACGTTTGGCAGGCGGGTTGCCAACCGCAGTCAGGCTTTAGAAAGGTTTTAAGAGGGGCACAGTTGCTCATCCCTTATCCTCCCTTAGTCGGCTCTTACGACACTCACGGGAGAGGAAGGGGTGGCCAATTCTATGCCGGGACCATATAGGTATAGAATGGCCTTAAAAGTATAGAATGTTCATACAATATTAGAATTGAAAAATTTTCAAATACATAATTAAGACATATATATATTTTTTTCATTTATTTAGGTAAACAAATATTAACAAAATAAGGAATAATAAAAAAAGATTAATAAAAAAAAATGGATAAAGTTGCCATCAATACGGAACTTTTATTACTTTTATTTAATTAAAACATTGAAATAATGTTTATTTTATGAGGTATAAATCCTTTTTGATATCTCCAAACAGAAGCCCAGTAACAATGGTTCGAGACAGCGGCGCGAGCGACGATACCAGCCGACGATATGTCACGCTAATGCACTTCCGTGAGAAACGGCGGACAATGCGGTCCAGTGACAATGCATTGTCTCTCTCCTGTTGCATT